TTCCTCACCATATTTTTGTAACATGGTTCTGACGACCCCCCATCTTTACCCAAGCAATCTGCTCTGCAGCAGTTCATACAACTCAGGGAAACAGCTGTCTTTAGAAGTTTAAACGATGAGACATAGGACAAGATGTGGAAGAGACTCCAGAGCAAGAACATCTGTCCTTGCAGGTTGAGTTTTGCCTCCTCCAGAAATGTAGATTTATTCTAGCTCACTTTCCTGGAATCCCCCTGAACCCATGCCTTTTTCCAGTTTGCTTTTATTTTTTGTGGTGTTGGGAATTGAACTCAGGGCCTCATGCTTGATAGGCCACCTCTCCACCACAGTTATACCACCAGCCCTCCCTTTATGTTTTCATAAAGGACACATTATCTAGGTATGCTTAATTAAATGATTGGTCACTGGTGACCAACTAGACCTTTAGTCTTTCCCCTACCCCAAGTGGGACCAGGGAATTCCAACCCTCTCCAGGCACTAGGTTGTCCCCTCCTCCAGGGGTTATCTAGAAACTGTTCAAAACTCATCCATTAACATCAGTTCAGATATGGTTGAAAGGGGCTTGTACCTAGGCCTGGTGGCTCACACCTGTAATCCCAGCACTCTGGGAAGCTGAGGCAGGTATCTGGAGAGTTTGAGCCAGGCCTAGGTAATTTAGCAAGACCTTGTCTCAAAATAAAAAATGAAAAGGGATGGGGATACAATTCACTGAGAAGACCCAGATTCAATCCCCACTACCACAAAAAAGCATTTGTGTGGGGAGATTATAAATAACAAAGACTACCTTTGTCCCTCAGGAACCAGGGAGAAAAAACTAAATATCATAACAAAAGCTGTTTCTATTACTCTAGTCACACAAGGGCTATAGGAGCCTTAAGCCAAGAACTGTGAAGGAACACCTCTCACACACATATCAGTATCGTTACCAGAATATCATAGAAGTATAATAAACCACTAGTACAGATAAAATAAAAAACTAAAAATTACTCAACTAATCTAAAAGAAAGCAGGAAAGTAAAAAGAATGAATGGGACAAACAGAACAAGACCCCAGTTAAATAAAATAAAAGAAATGAAAATAGTTGAAACCCTACAAATAGCAGAGCTTGTCAAATTTAGAAAGAAAATCCAAACCTTATATAGCTTACAAAAAACATAGTTTAATATAATAGTTCAATAAATGTAACAAGTTTAAAGAAAATGAATAAACTAAGATAAATGAGATGGTTATACTGGTACCAAATAAAGTAGATTTAGAGACAAGGACTATTACCAGAGGCAAAGATGATGTTTCATAATGATAAATAGGTTACCTCACCAAGAATGTTACCCAGTATAATGCCTACCTGATCTAACTGGACACCCAATCTTGCTTATTTCTGAGGACAGGATGGATGTCTGCAGTCCAGAAGTTCCTCTGTAGGTGGGCAAGCCCAAACCTAGGGGATCTGAGGCAATCACCAGAGTGACCCACAGATGACCTCTACCTTCATTATAATCCAACTTCCATGCTAAGTGACACCCCCACCACCAGTATGGCCAAAATTCGAGAGCATAAAAGAAAGAATTGAGCTGGCATCTAACTTGTAAGGATTTTAAAAGAATTCTCTGCTCATCCCAGGAAAAGACATGAATATGCCTCCCCTTTAATAGCCTACTGCAACCTTATAACTCCGCCATCCCTGACTGGTTGAAAAACTGATTTGGCAGCTAGACTCCCACTTCTTCATTCCTTCACCACTGAACACACTTGTGCTACTGGTCCTTGGTCTTACCTTAGGGTTTGCAACACTGGAAGGAAAAAGAAATAATTATATTGGGAGTCCCTCTCTTGGAAGAAAACCAACAAATTCTGGGTAACAAGAAGGTATAACCGTACAAGCCAGCTGTGAGGGCCCAGGCCCGTAACCCCAGCTCTCTGGGAGGCTGAGGTAAGAGGATCAAAAGTTTGAGCCCAGCCCGGGCAACTTAGTAATTTAGCAAGACTCTGTCTAAAAACATTTTTAAAAATTTTTTTTTAAAGGGCTGGTGATGTAGCTCAGTGTGAAGGTCCTGGGTTTGTTCCCCAGTACAAAACAGAAAAAAGAAAAATAAAAGGAGAAGAAAAGGAGGAAGACAAGGAAGAAGAAGAAGAAGAAGAAGAAGAGGAAGGAGTGAGGGAAAGGAGGGGGAAGAAAGGAGAAATTACAACAATAATAAATGTACACATACCTAATTAGAGATTCAAGAAACAATGATAACAAATACATATGAGTATCCCTAATCCAAAAACCTGAAATGCTCTAAAATTCAAAAGTTTTTGAGCATCGACATGATACATAAACAAAATTTCACATCTAGCTTCATGTTCTGGGTCACTATTAAGATGCAGACACACTAGAAATATTGCCTAAAACTACCTTCGGGCAATGAGAAAAGAAGTTATATGGGAAATAGGAACGAATTTCACTTAAAACTTGGGTTCCCTCCGCAGTATAACACACAATGTATATGCAAACATTTCAAACTTTAAAAAAAAATCCAAAGCAGGGCTGGGGATTCAGCTCAGTGGTGCCACCGCCTGCCTCACAAGCTCAAGGTCCTGAGTTCAATCCCCAGTACCAAAAAAAAAACCATTCAAAGCATTTCAGGTCCCCAGCATTTCAAATAAGGGGTATTCAACTTAAATCTGAAAATTCAACACATTTTTATAGGTCAAAGACAAAACCACATCAAAAATCAGAAAATATTGCCAGGTGTGGTGTCACATGCTTGTAATCCCAGCACTCTGGGAGGCTGAGGTAGAAAGACTACAAGTTCAAGACTGGCTTGGACAATTTAGCATCTTAGCAAGACCTTGTCTCACAATAAAAAGAAATTTCTAAACAAGGGCTAGGGATGTACCTCAGTGTGAAGGGACTTGAGTTCATTCTCTAGTACAAAAATTTTTTAAAGTTAAAATTAGAAAATATTGTTTATGTAACAGTATGGAAAGGAAAAACACAACATATCAGTGTTTGTGGATACAAGTCAAATAGTGCTTATAAGAAATTCTGAAGCTTTAAATACTTACATTAGGAGAACTGTCAAGTTAATTATCTAAACCTCCACCATAAGTCAGAAAAAGAGAACCAAACTAAGTCTAATGTAGGAAGAAGGAAATAATAAAATAATAGTTCACTGGAAATCAATGAACAAAACATAAGAAGTTGAGAAAAGTCAATGAAACTGAAAGCTAATTCTTTGGAAAGATCAATAAAATCTATTATCTGTAGGCAGACCAATCAAGGAAAAAGAGAGAGAGAGAGAGAGAGGAGAGACACATTTCCAAGACCTAAAGTAAAAGGATATCACCACAAATCTCACAGATATTAAGACTAACAAGGTGTCAAAGGATGAAACTACAACAAGTTGAAGAGCATCATCAGCTTTATGTTACAATTCTAGAATAGGGAAATATTTCATTCCATAAGACAGATTAAATGTTCAGATGGGCTGAGCACCAAAGGTGGATTGCGTTGGGGGGGTGGGGTGTCTTGAGACAGAGTCTCACTATGTAGTCCAGGCTGGCCTCAATTCTCCTTCCTTAGCCTCCAGAGTGCAGGTATTACAGGTGCCACCATACCTGGCAAAGGTTGGTTTTAATAGATAGAAAGTCTGAAAAAAGCAGGAAAAAAATCACCAAGAGTAGATTGAACATTTCAGTTACCTTCCTTGTAAGGCAGGGACAGAGAAACAGAACAGTAAAAAATAACTGACTGATTAATGTCAGGTCATTCCATAACAGTGATGCAATTAGGGATAGGAACAACTTGCAAAGATGCACACAGGTTTGTAAAAGCTGAGCATCTGCAAACATATCACAGCTCAATTCCACTCCAGGCATCTATATCCAACAGTACTATGAGTCTATGTACACCAAGAGACAGGCAAAAGATTATTCATAGCAGAATTATTCTTAATAGCCAAAAGGAGGAAAGAATTAAATCAACCATTAAAAGGATAAAGCAGGCTATGTTTATACAATGGAATGCTATATAGCAACAAAAGGGAAAACCATAAAACATGGACAGATCCACAGCTGTTATTCCATTTATATAAAGATCAAACACACGTGAAACAAATACATGGTGTCAGGATAGTGGCCAAATGTCACAGTGCAGAAGGTTGCAATGAGGAGGCAGGCAGACAGGACCCTGCAATGCTGACAGCATCTCAGTAATGGCTATAAAGGCACTTTCACTTTGTCAAACTTACTTTGTGATAATTTATCAAACAATACTCTTAAAAATTGTGCACTTTTCTGTATGTATGCTATTCTTCAATATTTTTTTTAAATGAGGCAATTCTAAGGCTGGGGATTTAGCTCAGTGGTTCCGCCGCCCGCCTCACAAGCACAAGGTCCCAAGTTTGACCCCTGGCGCGCGCGCGCACACACACACACACACACACACACACACACACACAAAGAGGCAATTCTATATATGCTAATATAATAGAAAGAACTCCAAAATATGTGTGTGGCTAAACAAAAAGGAGAAACCACTAAACAGTGTACACAGAATACTAATATTTTTGTAAAAGGACATGTATTTGTATATAGCAATCATAATGGCAATATTGACTCAATGCTACTTGCTACGTAAGGTACTGCACAGGGCATTCGACATGAATTGTATCACTTATTTCTCTCAAAACATCAGAAAGTCAGTCATATTATTATCCTTATTTTAAAAATTAGAACAGCGATAAAAAGATATCAAGTAACTTGCTCCCACCACCCAGCATATCCTGAGAAGCCAGCAATAACAGTGTCTCTGAGAAGGCGACCTGGGGCCTGGGACATGGGGTGAGACAACGGCTGGCTTATCACAGTATTCTTTAAGTACCTTTTGCAGGAATATATTTGCATATTTAATCTATTACCAAAAAAGCATTTATTAAAATTTTCTTTCTTTCTTAATCTCTGAGCTACACAGAACTGTTTCACCTAGAGGATCATAATTTGTTTTACTACTTTACCTGTCTTAGGATGCAAAGCATCACATTGGGCATTATACATGTGGACAAATTCTTGGTGCCTTTTAATGAGCTGCTGTTTATTTCCTTGAATAGATAATCCATGCTGTTTCAGCTTTTTCTTTAAATCACGATCAGAGAGTAAGTTATACACAGTTTTGGGCAGCTGCTTCCTTTTTTGAACAGAACTGAAAAGGGGGAAAAAAATCTCTGGTTATTGTGAATTACCAAATGCTATCATGTAAAACTATAACTTACCTTCTGACTCGACATCTGTGACTGAGAGAGTAGTAGAGCTATAAGACAAAGAGGAAAAGAGGAGAGAATCTGTGGGTAAAGTTTAACAGTCAGATAGATGGATGCAGGTGGCACCAAAATGAGAGACTTAGGTCTCGGAAAGAGGTTAGGACTGAAGATGCAGACTGGAAACATATCTAAGTGTTATGAGAACTTCACTTAAAAATCTCACTCATGCAGACCTATTCAATTCTCTACCTCTTTAAAGCATACTTTCCCTAAAATCTGCCCATGGTCTCCATGCAAAATTCTTGTAAAAGCTAGCTATCTTGGATGATTAGAGTATGAATGTGATTGCAGGATATACTAGAGATTTAAGGATATGTTAACACATATAACTTCTCTAGATAAAGTTCAGGCAAAACTTCCCCTCAAATCCAAGGCAATCAATTTTGCAAAAGTACTACATGAGAAACAGAAGCCTGTGAGGATAGCTACTTTCACTTAACTCATGACCACAGCTGAAAAAAGAATCCAGAAAGTTGGCCCACAAGTAATATTCATGTGGTATACTCTTGTGGTGTCATCTTCAAAGACGCATGAAAACCAAAAAAATATGATAGGGTTGTGTTTTCTTCAATTATTTAGGTTAATATATAAGCCCTTATAAAAAAGTGTACTAGCAAAATCATCACCTAGCTTCTCATTTTTCCTCTCTCTCTCTCCTCCCTCCCCCTACCCCTCCCTCTCCCTTCCCCTTTCCCTCTTTCTCTTGTACTAGGGATTGAACCTAGGGCCTCCTTACTAAGCTCCATTTCCAGGATTTTTCCATTTTTTATTTCTGAGACAGGTAAGTTACCCAGGCCAGGCTCAAACTTGTGATCTTCCTTCCTCAGCCTCCCCAAGGACTAGGAGTATAGCTGTGCACCACCACCCAAGGACTCATTCTATTTTCATAATAAAAACACATAAAAATTTTGTTATAACAAGTCATATTAAATTACTTTCTCCTACTCTTCCCCCTAAAAGTTATTATAAACACCAAGCTACCTAAAAGTATCAATGACAAGATAATTTCATAAACAGGAACTCCTTAGCCTGAATACATAACACAATTCAGCTCTATGGCCAATGAGGTGTTTAACAAGTGTTTTTCAAGGAGACCATTACAATTACAATCATTTCAAAATGAGAAAAGCAACAATTCAGGTGAAAATTAATGGGAACTTTAAAATAATAGATTTATCCAAAAAACAAGATTTACATAGGATCTGTACAGAATCAGTTCACACTAAGCTCCCCAAACTCCAGTATCCCTTAAATAGCTTGAAAAGCTTGCTTACAATGCATATTCCCAGCTCCTTCTCCACAACACCCATCCACAGTTCAGGCCAGAGGTGGAAACCTAAAACCTGTATTTTCAACAAGGTTCCTGTAATAGTTAACTATGTTAATTGAAGACACACCCAATTGAATTGGATCAGCATAGTTCCAGGTATGGCTGAAGGGATTTACTGAAGACAGAAGACCCACCCTCAGTATGAGTGACAGCATCCAATAGGCTTGATGCCTGAATGGTATAAAGGGAAATGAAGGAAGGTTCGCTTCTGTTTCTTTGCCGATGCTCCAGTCTTCACCTTCACCTTGGATGTCATCTCCTGGCTTCCAGCACAGACCCTTCAGCCTCCTGATACGGACTTGCATGGGACACTTCAGTGAGCTCCAGGCCTTAATTGGATTCTTCAGATCTCCAGTGCACAGATAGCCTTCTTGTGTGCTTCCACAGCTGACTCTATGGGTGGCCACTGTAAGCCAATCTTGTAAATTCTTATATATTGGTATATCCTGCATTAATTAAATGTTTCTCCAGTAAGCACTGACTGATACAGATTTTGCTACTGGGAGTGGCTCTAGAGAAACAGAATTGTAAAAATGAAATTCTTTAATGGTTTTAGTGGTTCCTGGAGTTGGCTCTCAAATTTGATGTGACCTAAAGATGCCATAGCCTCTCCTGATAATGTGGAGAATACTGACAGTTCTTGATGTGAACTGCTTAAAGTAATACCCATTAAAGTAGATCCATTTGATTATCCTAATTCATCATTTATGAAATGTAAGGAATTTAGCAACTCCATATGTGATAGTTACTTTTGAATACTGTTGGCAGAGTGAGAAATATAATGATGCTATCTGGTTGCTCTTAGCATCTCTGGACAAACTAGTGAAGGAATATAATGAGCTCAAAATATGCATAGAAAATCTAAAGCCTTCTAACCATGAGGACAAATTAATAAAGGAAAATAAGGAGCTCAAAGATTCAAACACCCAGCTGCAGACACATATAAATAATCTAAAAGTTTCTAAGTGAGTCCTGAAAGAGAATCTCCTCTCCTTTAGCCACAGGGCTGAAATTGCAAGAACCCAAATGCAGGCCCTCATAATCTGATTGGCTGAAATACAGCATAAATTTAATGCTCAGCCTGGAAGGGTATCTGAAGCTAAGGGTGAGGAGGGCACTGAATGGAAAAGAATGGGATCCAGTAAACTGGGATGAAGATTTTAGGAGGATCCTGATGAGGCTAAGGAAGCTGAACTCCTCAGCTTTAACGAGATTATTTTGCCGGAGGAAGAGATTTCCCCACCCCACCCCCACCCCTGATGGCGTTGGCCTCTCCTAATATACCAGAGGAAACTAATCCTGTTTTGACCAAGAATGACAATCCTGACACTCCCCAGGACCCACCCTCACCACCTACTTTTGCCTCTAGGTCTACAACCAGTCTCAAATCACAGAAGGCTCCAAAGAGTGAGGTACATAGTGTGACCCACGAGGTCCACCATTCTCCTGAAGAACTTCTTGGGTCTTCTCTTATAAGCAGAGCCCTGAAGAGCAAGTGTGGGGATGCATCTTACAGGTGTGGGAGAATGGTGCCAAAAACATACACCTAGATCAGGCTGAGTTTGTCGATATGGGCCCGTTAAGCAGGAATTCTAAATTTAAGGTTGCAGCTTGAAGAATTAAAAAAAGATATTAATAGCTTATCTGGCTGGTTAGCAGAAGTGTGGATCAAAAGATGGCCCACTGTGAATGAGTTAGAGATGACTGATATTCTCTGGTTTACTGTTGATGGGGGATTCAACAGCTCAGGTAAACGGGAATGCTGGAGTGGATTTGTCATGATACACATAATCCTCCACATTGGGATGATCCAGAAAATGTAGCTTTTATTAACACCTTGATAAACAGATTCGGAAGGGGAGCACCAGCACCCCTGAAGAACCTTGCCAATGCTCTTCTCTGTATATCAGATTTCACAGTGGGGACCAAAGTTATTCAAATGGGAAACTTAAGGGCAATGGGATAAATTGGATGGGAGAATGGCAGGGGTGAAGTGGCAGCACTTAATCGCCAAAGGGAGGGTGCACACATTGTGCATTGGGGGAAAGGAAATGATTACAGACATTTTGGGGACTACTGGACACTGGTTCTGAACTAATGCTGATTCCAGGGGACCCAAGACATCATTGTGGCCCTCTAATAAGAGTTGGGGCCTATGGAGGTCAGGTGATCAACAGAGTTTTAGCAAAGGTCTCACAGTGGGTTCAGTAGGTCCTCAAGTGCATTCTGTAGTCATTTCCCCTGTTCCAGAATCTATAATTGGAATAGATATACTTAGTTTTGGCAGAATCGTCCAAATAAGTGGTTCCTTAACTTGTAGTGTTGGGCTATTATGGTTGGAAAGGCCAAATGAAAACCATTAGAGTTGTTTTTGCTGGTAAAATAGTAAACCAAAACCAGTATCACATCTCTGGAGGGATTGCAGAGATTAGTGCCACTAACAAAGACTTGAAGGACGTAGGGGTAGTGGTTCCCACCACATCTCCATTTAATTCTCCCATTGGCCTGTGCAGAAGACAGATGGGTCTTGGAGAATCACAGATTACCATAAACTAAATCAAATGGAGTCCAACTGCAGCTGTCATATCTAATGTGGTGCTCTTGATTGAGCAGATTAACACAATTCCTGGTACTTGGTAAACAGCTACTGATTTGGCAAACCTACCCATGAGGCCCATCAGAAACTATTTATTTTCAGCTGGCAAGGCCAGCAACACACCTTCAATGTCCTACCTCACGGTTATATTAACTTCCCAGCCCTGTGTCAGAACTTAGTTTGCAGGAATCTTAAGTACCTTTCTCTCCCAGAAGGTATCACACTGGCCCATTACATTGATGATATTGTGCTAACTGCATCAAGTAAGCAGGAAGTAGCAACTACTCTGCATTTGTTAGTAAACCATTTGCAAGCCAGAGGATGGGAAATAAATCCAACTAAAATTCAAGGTCCCTCTACCTCAGGGAAATTTCTAGGAGTCCAGTGGTGTGGGGAATGCAGATATATCCCTTCTAAGGTAAAAGGTATTTATCTCAATTACACATTTGGCTCCCCCTACTACAGAAGAAGAGGGACAATTCCTAGGGGGCCTATTTGGATTTCAGAGGCAACACATTCCTCACTTAGCTGTTTTACACTAGCCCATTTACCATGTGACTCAGAAAGCTGCTAGTTTTGAGTGGAGCTCAACAAGAAAAGGCTCTGCAATAGGTCCAGGATCCTGGGCAGGTTGCTCTGCCACTGCGGCCATACGATCCAGCAGATCCAATAGTACCTGAAGGGTCAGGTAGGGATGTGATCTGGAGTCTCTGCCAGGCCCCATACATGAACTGCAGTGAAGACCTTTAGGAGTTTGCAGCAAAGCTCTGCCACCATCTGCAGACAACTACTCTTCCTATGAAAAAGAGCTCTTGGCCTGTTACTGGACCTTAGTGGAAACTGAATGGCTGACCATGGGACACTAGGTTACCATGCAACCTGAGCTGCCTTTTATAAGCTGGGTATTGTCTGACCTACCAAATCATAAGGTTGGATGTGAACAGCTAGAGTCTATCATTAAATGGAAATGGTACAAGTAAGTTACATGAAGAAGGTGCCCAGATATCCATGACTCCTAGTCCTGCCATATTGCCTTCTGTCTCCCCCTATGGAAATATGCTCTCATGAGGTGTACCATATGATCAGCTGTCAGAGGAAGAGAAGGCTAGGGTCTGGTTTATGAATGGTTCTGCATGTATGCAGGCACTGCCCACAAGTGGAGAGCTGCAGCATTACAGCCCCTTTCCAGGATATTCTTTTTTTTTTTTTCCATTTCCTTTTTTTAAAATGTACTAAATTCTTTTATTGGTACATTGTAGGTATACAACACAATTACATTTCTCATTAGGAATTGTACCTTTACATAATGCATCTTGGTTCTTATTTTTTCCCTATTCCTAGCCCTCCCTTCACACCCTCCACCCTTTCCTATTTACAAAGACTTTATTTCCATTTTTTCCATTTCTCATCATTTTTCCTTTCCCTTCCTTCCTTTCCCTTGCCCCTCCCACTACCCCTACCCCTTTGGACCTTTTCTTCCTATTTTACATTATCGATTATTCATTCTAATCATTGGTACATTTTAGGTATACAATATAATGACATTCATCATTGGAAATTTGCACCTTTACATAGTCTCTCTTGGTTCTTATTTTTCACCCTTGCCCAGCCCTCCTTCAACCCCTCCAGTCGTCCCTATTTACAAAGATTTTGTTCCTATTTTTCCATTTTCTCATATTAATCCCATTCCCTTCTATCCTTTCCCCTAGCCCTCCCACTTCTTCCCAGTGGGTAGAACATTAGGTGGTGGACCTGGTAATACATTTTGCCTGGAAGGAAAAATGGCAAGATGTGCAACTGGATCAGCATAGTTCTGGGTGTGACTGAAAGGATTTACAGAAGACGTAAGACCCACCCTGGGTGTGAAAGGTATCAACCAATAGGCTTGTCACCTGAATGGAATAAGGAAGGCTCACTTCTGTTTCTTTGCAGATGCTCCAGTCTTCACCTTTACCTTGGAGGTCATCTCCTGGCTTCCAGCACAGACTCTTCAGCCTTCCATTGCAGATTCTTTGGCCTCCTGATACAGACTCACACAGGACACTACAGTGAGCTCCAGGTCTTCAATTGGATTCTTCAGATCTTCACTACACCACCCTGTTGCACTCTTCCATACCTCACTCTGTGGGCTTTCATCGTCAGCCAATCTTGAAAATTCTTATATATTTGTATATCTTGTATTAAATCTGTTTCTCTAGTAGGCACTGACTGATAACAGTTTCCCCAGCTAAAAAGAGCAGGTCCAAAGATCATATACAGAGAAACAGTACATTTAAAAATAGACAAAACTACCAAATATTTCTCTACTAACCAACAGTGCTACTTCCTGGGGAAATTATTTATTTTATGCTCTATTACTACAATCCGAAAGCAATTATCTAACTATAAAAACACCTGTAAACTCCAACAGAGTATATTTTTCTGAAATTTGTTCTTATAATGACAGCCAATTGGACTCTAAGATTGACAAAATTATGGCAAAATAAAATAACAGTAGATAGCAACTGCTGAATCATTTTCCAGGCATTTATAACAAGCACACAAAGAGAAACAAATAATTAAGTCCTTATCCAAAACATTTATTTTATTAAAGATAGGTTATTAAACTTACAACTATAAAATTCTAATAAAGAACTACATCGTTCACTGCCATTTACAATGAAAAGCACTGCCTGAGATCAACAATTTCTATCAGGAATTTAAAATCAGGAAGCCAGAGGAAAGTTTCCCTAATCATGAAAATGACACTGATCCTTCTTCCACAATGTAGTGAAACTGAGTCTTGCATTTGAGAGCACTTATAATCTGAGAACATCAAAAGGAAGAATACGTGCTTTGAATGAACTGTGAGATGATTTCATGCAGTATGGGTTAAGAGTTTTCATCCACGTCTAGGAGACAGCTTGGGGCATTGCAGTGGAGGCTGAAAAACAGGCCAAGTCTCCTCAAAGTGGCCAGATGCCAGAGACAGGATATAACTACAGAGAGATGCTGTGGAATGGCTCCCTAAGTATGTCTGACCAATTCTGTAAGATGTGAATTGTGAGGACAAAAAGGTTTAGGGCTAAAACAAATTTAGGGATTACTTGATGAAATCATACCCAGGAGTTATCTTCATGTAGGGATTCTTATCACCCTCAATGTACTAAGAGGGTAACACAGTCTGCACTGATTCTAAGTTGCACTACAAACCAAATGCCAATACTACAGCATTCTACGGAGCAGGATTTGAAATCACTACTGGAACTTAAACTTAATTACACATGTACAAGTATGACTTTGAATACAGAGCTAAATGTATTAGAATACAATTAATGAATCTAGAAAACAAAGCCCCAAATAAGATTATCAGTGCTGATTTCTTAGTCTTTAGGTAGAAAATACTCAGCTTCTATACCCCTAACTCACTTTTTTGGGGGGGAAAAAAACTTCTCAAGAGAAAAGCCAGTCTTGAACTATCTAGTTTTCATTTATTCAGAATATCCATTAAGTAACCAAAAATTCTTACTCTCATCAATAAACTTACACCTATGGCAGGAGAGAGTACTGTGCACACAAGACTTCCCAGGTCTGGAGTCAACTGTGTCCCTCAGGGTAAATGAATGAGAGATCACTGCTCTTCCTATGTCACCTGGTACAAGTTACCACAGAATGAGTCTGTCCTTCAGACCTTGCATTTGCCCTATGTTTACTTCTAAAAAGTGACACCTTTTTAATCTTTAATGATAAAAAAATGCTAAGATGGCTCTGCCTTACTAGCATGGTTTTTGGAAAACACTCTTCCAACTCCTTCAAAATAGATCAATGAGAAGGGCCAATCATTCTTTTCATCGCCACTTTCCAAATACTGCTCATGTCTTCAGCTTCCTTCCTCTCGTTTTCCAAAACTCTGAATTATTACCTATTCTTTTCCTCTTTCTTCCTGTTCAAGAGTCCTTTCAGCAGGTCCAGGATAACTTCATTACTGAACTGCTGGTGTCTTGTGTTCAGCATTTTGTTCCACTGACCATCTGCTCTCTCCCTGCAGAAACTACCAGAAAAGAGACTGAAGGCTTAAACAACCCCTATTTTTAAAAATAAAATCTTCCCTTGATGGTGCTATTTACTGTCCCTAAACTACCACCTCACTTCCTCCCTTGACCACCAGATTCATCTAAATTGCAGCTTCTGGTTCCTTTAATACCCTGCAATTAAACTTCAATTAAAATTTCATTCCTAAGCAGCTTATATGTATAATAATAGTGGACTGGTTTAAGAAATTACTGTTACTTTGATGTATAACAGAGGTAGACTAGCATAGTAGCTGAATGCAGATACTGTGGTGATGACTCATTAGTTATACAACCTAGGTGGTTTGGAGGGGAGGACATTATATCTTATACCTATTTTTGCACCCTTTTTTGTATCACGTATCTATACCCACCTTGTCAAAAAACACGTAAATTTTTGAAAAAGTTTGATTTAAAATTTTAAAACTTTTGAGCATCCTAAGAACTGAAGCAATATTTCATACTTTCCATATTTGGAGTCTCGCCTTGCTTTCTTTGGCCAAGAGATTTTACAGGAGTTCTAAAATTCTAAGAAGAAAAGAAGTTTCTAAAAAGAATTCTAAGTCACTGATTTCTCAGGTCAAAATTTAAAAGTTAGATACATACTCAATATATTTAGCAGTTATTATATATTCCATATAGTTAATCACATATGGCAAAGTGAGAGTTGAGGAAAGAACAAGAGGAGAGGGAATGAGAGACATGCCAAACAAGAGTAAAGGAAAAAAGCAAGTAGAAGAGGGAATATGACAACTGGTCAAAGAAATAAAATACTGAATGTTTTTCAAGCTTCTAAAGAACCAGAAGCATCTAGCTAAAGCAACTGAAGGGTTATAGTCAACTTTCTTACCTTCTGAGGCTCTCCTTCTTCTCGTCACGTGACAAACAGCTGTCTAAGTGCTTATTAATGTGATTTTCTGGAACGTTAACACCACAAACAGGACAATCCACTGTATTTTTTAAAAAAAGAAAGACTTTATTATCTGTAGAAAGGGCAAAAAAGTAACATAAGCTGAGATACCAATGTTGTCTAACCTAAACCACAAATAAGACGTAATCTGAAAGGCATACTGCAGGAGTTGGCAAACATATTTAGTGCAGGCCAGGTAGCCAACAATCTAGGCTTTCTGGTCATACTGCCCGTCGCTACTGTGCAACTCTGCCACAGTACTATGACAGTAGTCAGAGACAATGTGAGAACAAATGGGTATGCCTGTGTTTCAGGAAATTTTTATTTACAAAAACACTTGGCAAGCCAGTTTGTTAACCCTAGGTGGGAGAACAGTGAGGAAGTGAGCTTGGCTAGAACCAGATAATTTTCTGAGAGGGAAAGAGAAGAAAAAAGATGGGATGCCTAGGATAGTGGCTTTAAATGCCAAGCAGAATAGCATGGGGATGTCAAGGAGTGAAACAGTTAAGATAAAAAGAGGTCTTTAAGATTAAACTAGAACTACTACATTGGGTATGGGGGCAGAAAAATAGAAAGCTACTGTCACACTTGAAGTACAAGCTAATTAAACTGCCTCATTTTTTTCAGGGATCATGCTGAATTTCCACTCTATGAGAGAGAAAGAAAACAAACACATCTATAAGCAATGACTATATCCATCTCTGAGACTGTGGTAAGGTAAAGTCTGGTCTGTCTCTTCCTACTCCTTTCTCTTTAAAACTGCTATTTATTCTTACGTCATATGGAGAACAGAATTTCCATCAAGAAAATGCACATATTAGGGGCCAGGGATTTAGCTCAGTGGTTTCGCTGCCTGCTGCACAAGTGCAAGGACCCGAGTTCGATCCCCGGCACCCAAAAAAAAGAAAATGCACATATGAAAATAATCTCCTACCTTTAGCAACTTGTTTCAAAGAGGATGTAGAGGGTATCTCAGGTCTATTAGCATCTGAGGAACCAAGTGTCATCTTTTCTACAAAACCTGTCTCTTTGGTCTCTGTAGAAGGGCTTGTCTCTTTTTGATGACTGACTTTGCGGTCATTTTCTTTTATTAACAACTCTGATGTAGAATCACCAGTTTCCCTGATCAAAAACTTGTCCATTAACCTGTTGCCCTGCTTCAAAGATTCTCTGAAGGCTCCAGGACTCTGTACTTTGACAGCAAGTTTCTTTGAGGAAAAAGAAGCAGGAGATAGGGGTGGTGACTCTAAAGCAAACTGCAACAGATGATTCCTTGAAAAACAAAAAAACAGATAGAAATTAAGATATCAAATTATATATAATAAATTGATCGACATGAGCTGTTTTCTCACACCTATTTCTCTGAAATGCAAAACTTGTATCATACAACCCAACTAGAGTTTCTTCTAGAATAAAACAGAAAGTAATAAATCTTATTTAAAAGGTAATTAATATGTCTATAAAAAGAAATGGGAGAGCAAGGCATGGGGGCACATACTTATAATCCCCGCTACACTAGAAGCTGAAGCAGAGTTCAAGTTCTAAGCCAGCCTGGACAGTACAGCAAGATCTTGTCTTAAAATATAAATTTTAAAAGGGGTGGAGGTGTATAGCTCAGTGGTAGAGTGCTGCTTAGCACATGCAAAGCCCAGGGTTTAATCCCCAGTACCTTAAAAAAAAATGGAAATGGAAGGACTTTAGGATCTAGTCACAACAAAAAGCTGATAAGAAACTCTCCAGTTGCAAGTAACTGTAAAGTCTGGACAAAACATATAAAACAACTATTTATAGGCTCTAGAGATGAGTGCCCAAATTGCAACACAGAATCCACTTATTTATCGTAAAGTGCCAACACTGCAATTAAACCTGAACACTGAGGTTTTAGTTTAGAAAAACTCATACATGAACATCTTTTGTGTTAAAAGAAAAACATGTGTGCCACTGGTATGCCACCATTGCTCTAGAGTATAATCAACACAAAACTGTAATCTCTGAGAAAGAAGAGACATATGAAGTGATCCAACATTTCCCAGAAGTTTGACCTGGAAGCATTTTCTGGGAATTGAATATGGAACTGAGGGTCTAGAAGGGAGGAGAAATCTCACTGGGTAGAAGGAACAGAGAGTAGAGTACTAGGCAAAGGTGTCTTGGATGGGGCAAGTCAGACTGGGGGAGTGGGCGACTGCCATGTGGCAACCACACAAAGGGAACCCCAGAAATCTGCTTAGAAATTCTCATCCATCCATCATCACCTCAAGGGGCACAGCATACACAAAAGCACAGCAGGCCTGGCAGGAAGCAGACACCAGTAAACTGAAATTCCAAGACCAGCTTGAAAAGTTGTTGGTGTTTAAGCCTGGCCTAAGAGGAAAGGACCACCCTCCCCCCCACCCCCAGAAGACCATGGATGTTCAAATGAGATGCCACAAAGGCCACACCTTAGGAAAAATGACCACCTTATACAAACAAAACTGAAATACTCAACCTAGCAAAGCACTACACCAGGATCTGACAGAACAACTTAACTATCGGAAGAAATTCCAGTATCTTTCAAAGGAAGATAATTTGAAACTTCTACAAGATTTTGTCTACAATGTTCAGCGCAAAAATTTAAAAATTACTAGACATGCAATGAAGCAAGAAAAAATAGCCACCAATCAAAAGGTAAAATATTTAATAGAAAGAAACCAGAGAGGAATCCAAAGAGTGGTGTGAATAGATAAGGACTTCAAAAGAACTATGATAAATACATTGAAGAAGAAAGAAGAAAATATACACAAATGGATTTTTTAAAAAAGATGTATTGAGAGAAGACTAAAATCCATAAAAAAGAATCAATGAATATTCTATAATTACAAAATACTACATCCAAATCAGATGGCTGTAACACTAGACAATATAAGCCAATAAAATAGATCAATAGAAAACACTCAAATTGAAGCACAGAGGAAAAAAAAAAAAATGAACAAGACAGGGAAAAAAAAAGTATGGTATCAAGATATACTCCATATTTGTGGGAGCAGAAACAATGAAAAATAACCATTAGGAAAATCAATGATTGAGAATTTTCCAAACCTGAAGAAAAAAAAAACAAACTCAACTGATAGATTTCTCCATTGTATTATTTACATGAAACTCAATAAACAAAGATAACTAGAAGATCTCCAAATGTTAAGAAATTAAGCATCACAATTCTAAATAACCCAACTAATCAAATGATAATGGAAATTAGTTTCAGTTGAACATGTAAGTCTAACAAAACAATCCCTAGAGGGACAATTTTAATAGAGTAAGAAGAAAGCTGAAAAATCAATATTCTAGCTGAGCACAGTGGCACAGATCTCTAATCCCAGCAACTTGGCAGGCTAAAGCCTTGATTATGACTTCAAGGCCTGTCTGGGCAGCTTAGTAAAACCCTGTCATACACACACAGACACAGTCACACACACACACACACACAGACACACACACACCCACACCCCTAAAATCAGTATTTTAAACTTCCAACTTTCTAATTTAAAAATCTGTAAACAATGTGCAAACTCAAGCCAAAGAAGAAATTGCAACAGAGGCTACTATAATGGAAAAAAACACAAGAGAAAAATGAACAAAGCCAAAATTTGCTTCTTTAAAAAAAAACCTTAACAAAATCATTAAATTCCTGCCAAGAACAACAAAAAGTGAAAATATAAATTTCCGAAACAAAGAATTAAAAGGAGATATCATTATGAGTACTTTATAAAAAATTTAAAATTTTGGGTGAAATGCATAAATTCCTTGAAAAACACTATTCATCAAAACTGATAAAGGAAGAAACAGAAAACCTGATGAAACCTTATTATCAATTAAGGAAACTGAAGCTACAATTTAAAAACCTTCCTACGAAGGAAACCCCCAGCCCAGATGGCTTCACTAGTGATTTTTACAACATATTCAGTGGAGAAACACTATCGACACTGCACAGTCTAGTCCAGAAAACAGAAACTGATAGGTCTCCCACCACCTCAGCAGCTATTAAGTATAGTAGCTGACCTCTTCCTATGGTGCCTTGACCCCTCCTCTGTGTGACATCATGCCAAGATGGTTGCTCCCACCAAAGAACAAACCTTTCTTCCCAGCATGACCCTGTTCCCACCTAGACAGTAACCTAATACTCGCTCACCTCCTACCACCTAGTGACATCACCGGCTCCTCCATTCCCTAGTCACTACCTCACTCAACCCCGCCTCAGCCCCTACAAGCCCCACCCCAGTCTCTATAAAAGACTCTCCCTGCCCCAGCCATATTGCTTTGGCTCTCCTTTGTTCAGAGACAGCCCGGCAGATCTATTCCCCTAATAAAGGCTTGTTGTGGCCTGGTCTGGTCTTGGTCTTCGGCCCTTTTACCTGACAGAAACGATAAGCTATTTCCCAACTCATGTTAAAGCATGACCTTGTAAAACCAGGTAAACATACTACAAAAAATAAAACTTATAGTTCAATCATCTCCTAAATATAGAAATAAAAATCCAAGTGAAATACTAATAAATAAAATCTAGAGACAAGTTAATAAAGTTTATTGTGACCAAGTGGGACTTATTCCAGGAAAGTGAGGTTGCTTTATTATTTGAAAAAGCAATAGCCGGGGATTTAGCTCAGTGGTTTCGCCGCTTGCAGGCGCAAGGACCCGAGATCGATCCCCGGTACCAAAAAAAAACAAAAACAAAAAGCAATCGATGTATTTCACTACATTAGCAAAATACAGTAGAAAGATGATATAATCACCTCAATAAAGGCTAAAAAAGTACCTGACAAAATTTAACATCCATTTATAATAAAAACACTCCAGAAAACCAGGAAAGAAAGGAAATTTTCTTAATCTGATAAAAGATTACCTTCAAAAACTGAAAGCGAGCTAACATCAACCATTAATTAGTGAAATGTGGAATGAGCAGTTTCCCCTTAAGACTGAAAACACGATAAGGATCTGCTACCACCATCTCTTAAAACTGTAGTAGAAGTCCCAGTCTAGTGGTGAGGCCAAAAACACAAAACAAAAAGAACAAAAAATACATATAAAGGTTACAAAGATTTAAGAGAAAGAAAATTTTATGTATGTAAAAATCTGAAAGAATCTACAAGGAAGTAGAATCAATATTCTACAAAGTACTGGCTATAATGTCAATAAACAAAAAATAATGTGCCTATACACTAGTGACCAGAAAATAAAATTTTTAAATACCACTTCAAATACTATCAAATATACTAAAAAACAGAATAAATTTAACACAAAGGTACAAAACCTATATCCTGAGAACTATAAAACATTGTTTAGCAAACTAATACTGCCATGCATGGTGGTACATATCTATAATCCCAGCTGCTCAGGAGGCTGAAACATGAGGATCTTGAGCCCAGGAGTTTTGGTTTTTTGGTTTTTTGGTACCGGGGATCAAACTTGGGACCTTGCGCTTGTGAGGCAGACACCGGAACCACTGAGCTAAATCCCAGGCCGGTGCCCAGGAGTTTTGAGACCAGACTGGCCAACACAGTAAAAGCCTAAATATAGGGAGTCGGGGTGGGGGGGGATAGAAAGCCTAAATAAGCGAAGAAATAGTCCATGTCCACAGACTTAAAGCCTCGATGATGTTAAGACATCCATTTTCTCCACATTTATTTATAGATTCAGTGCAATCTATACAAGCCACTTTTTTTAGAAGTAGAAATGATACATTTATTCTAAAATGTATATGGAAATCCAAAGGCCCTAGAAAGTTAGCAGTCCTGAAACGTAAAGTTAGAGAAACTGAATTACCAGACTTTAAAGACTTATGGTGCAGCTACAGTTTTAGAGATACTATAATATTAGCTTGTAAAGAGATTTAAAAAAAAAAAAAAAAAGGAAAATAATGTGTCCATAAAAAGGTGCACACATATATACAATCATTGGGCCTGGGCAGGAGATTAGGGCATGAGTAGCTGACTAAGTGGGCATGCCTGATCAATCAAAGAGATCCAGGACACAGGCAAATAACACAGCTCTCAAGCCCTGCAAGTGGTACCAATCAGAGAATGCTATCCTCAATTCTGGCGTGAGATCAAGCAGGCTTTGACAGGACAGCCTAGATCTGACATCAGAATGCAGGACACAAAAGACTGCAGCTGTTAACCTCAGGGCCAGTGTGCTCTTTCTCAGTGGCCCACTCTCACTCTGCAAGCATACTTCTATTCTTCCCTTTAATAAATGTAAAATCTTGCTACCTCTTGTGCTTGTGTTGTCCAATTCTCTGTTCA